ATCTTGAGCTTCAGGCCGATGCGGCTCCGAGCCTCGTAGGTCTTGATGGGCGGGCGGTTGCGGGAGGGCATCGGGCCGTCCTCGTCGGCGTCCAGGGAGGAGGCGGCGGAGGATGAGGAGGACGAGGACAGGGAGGAGGAGGATGCCCGGGCCCAGGTCACGGAAGGGGAGCCGCCCGCACCACCGTGCCGGATCACCAGCTTGGTGGGCAGGTGCAGAGGGGGCTGGGCTGGGGCTCCAGATGCTGAGGATGGTGGGAGACCATGGCCCGGGAGCCGGTGTCCATCGGAAGAGGCGGAGACCGGGAGGCCGAGAGAGCGCGAAGAAGACACATACTCATCTGTAGAACCGGGGGGCCAAGGAAAGCCAGGGGATTAGCGGAAGCACAAGGCACCTCTTGAGCAGAGCTAAGAGAAGCCGATGTGCACTGAGCACCTACAATATCGGCCAGGCTTGGGGCTAAGCCCTTGACTCATCAAATCCTGGGGACACACTGCTAGGTGGGACCCTTTCCCCCAATTCCCCAGTCCCCCTAATGTGAAAGCACTGGTCAGCACCTGAGAGTCGACGCCACCTTAACTTTTGCAACCCAGGCACCTTGCTTGCCTCACCCCAGTCCTGGCTCTGCTCTCCTGCTTTTCTATCCCCCTGGTGGTGGCAAAATGTTCCCTCTATCCACGCCAGGATCGAGGAGGTGAAATGGGCACACGGTGACAGAGCAAGGTGAACTCAGCCCTCTCCAGCGGGAAGACGGGGGCTCGGGCGCCACCCAGTGGTGGAGTAAGGTAAGGCTGGTCACCCCGCTCCCGGCTCACTGCGGTCTAATTCCGCCTCACTGCGCGGGTGGGAGTCCGGGACACCATCCCATCCCTCTCACCGGGCTTCTCCTTGGCCAGCTGTTTGTCCAAGGCCAGGGTGGTCTTTTCCTCCTGAATGAACATTCGGTCGATCATGACCATCTCCGCTGAGGGGCTCACCCTCTGACGGGGGGGGGAGGGAAGAGAGGATGGCAAGTGAAGCAGCGAGGTGGGGAGGGACGTGAGCCACTAGGGATGGATGGGAACAGATTCCAAATTGTCCTTCTTGTGATCTGACCACCAGCCTCCCTCCCTCTTTCCTTCCCTCCAGAGGCTTCAAGGAGCAGGAGGCTCCTCTGTGCCCAGACACGGAGGTCCGGGTCCCCCGGGGAGGAAGGTGATGGTCACCCTACCCGGGACTCCTCCAGGAGCAAGAGGCGGTATTTATTGAGCATGGCCTGGGTGCGTTTCAGCAGCTGCGTGGAGACCGTCTCAAATTCTTCATCCACTGTGGAGGAAAAGAAGAGGCCCAGAAGCTCAGACATTTGGGGAGGGAAAGACCCGCCGGCCTGCACAGGGCTGGGCGCAACCCGACTCTCAGGGTCAAGGGTGCCTGCAGTGTTGCGCTGGTGTCTGATCCTCCGCATTCTCCGCAGTCGTCGCCAGCCCCTCCACGCAACAAAGACAGGGTGGGGAGAGTCCCACGGAGGCCTCACCTTTGTGGTAGTCGTTGGGGGAGGGGAGGGCACCCTGGTAGACATGGTAGGGCAGGAGGCGATGCAGGGCGTCCTCGAAGGAGGGGAAGGCCGTCTTGTAGTCAGGGTGCAGGACGGAGCCCTGATGTTTGTGCAAATGCTCCAGGAAGCTGCAGGATGAGAAGCACCACAAACACACACACAGAGCTGGTGGTGAGGCCAGGAGACAGCAGAGCCGGGACTCCGAGCTCCAGGCCACAAGGTAAACAATCGGGGAAAGGAACGTGGCAGAAATATGTGTTAATGTGTGCTGAGCGTGCCTGTCCTGTCTCACTGCATCTCTGGGGACAACCAAATGCAGTAGGTGCTAATCATTATCCCCATTTTACAGATGAGGCAATTGAGGCCCACAGAGAAGTCCAAAGCACCAACAGCGAGGAGGAGGAGGCAGGGCTGGGAACCAGATGCCGGAGCTTGCAACTCATCCTCCATGCAATACCGTCTCCTGCCACCGGGGGTCAGCATGTCCCCACCCGGCCACGGGCTCAGCAGCCAACTTGGGGAGGTGTGCAGAGAGGTTGGTCCCCTGGTTGGTTGGGTGATAGGATCGTGTTCTCTCACTGGGCTCTTTTGTAGCATAGCGCATATTAAAATGAATTATGTCTTTATTGTATGATTGTCTCTCCCACCAGACATGCTCGTCTGTACCCTGTGCTGAGGACCAGCAGCCCCTACACACTGCGGGACAAGACCTGGTCTATCTTTTGCGTTTTCAGAATCTAGCACAGGACTGGGCACTGTATGACTTGACCAACTCTCTCAGTGGAAGGAGGGCAGGAGAGAGGGACAGAACGCAGGCAAGCATCCAATATTTACCCATCCAGCCATCTGTCCAGCCACGCACATGACCAGACTCCCATCCCTGGCACTGAGCACTGTCAGCCCCTGCCCTGTTTGAGACGCCGAGGGGGCAGCAGTGACCAAGCCCTACAGACTCCCTCCCTCTCGCAGCTGGCAGCCCAGCTGCCCCATGAATGCTATTCACACAGTCTCATCGACTCGTCACCCATCACCCTGTTATCACTATTACCACCCCACTTTCAAGAGGGTCCTCAAGGGAAATGGCATTGCCCAAACCACAGGGCTGATGAGAGGTGGAGGGAAGGCACAGGACAGGGGAGACACCAACACGGGGGCGCTGCAACTCACCAGGCTTCTTTGCTGGGCTGCAGTGTGGGTGGTTTCTTCAGGCTGCCCGACTTGCTCTCATACTGCAGGGGAGAGAGAGGTGAGCAGTACTGCCACGGAGCAGCCTTCCCATGGTACTCTGTTCCCCTCCACCGCCCAGCCTGGGACAAAGATGGGAGGGGACCAAAGTCTTCCGAGATGTGGTCCTGGTCCCAGCAGCGGGTTGCCCCACCAGTTGCACTCAACCTCCGGGGCAGACCCAGGATGGGACCCCATGGGGGACACAGTGAGGAGAGGGTGACAGGCTTGCCTGAGCCCTTGACACCCTCTGCCTGACTTCTGGAGTCTCCCTGCCTGGCCATCTGATGGCCCCATCTCCCTCGTCATCACTCAGCATCTGAACTGCCTCGCCATCTTCTTCCAGCCCCTGACTTCTTCAGTCTGGGTACCACCATCCTCGTTCCCCACTAATACCCCTGCCCACTGCCCCTGAGTCTAGGGTCTCACCCCACCTATCCTGAGCCGACACCTAACAGTCTCACCCAGTCCCTTCTTCATAGTCTCAAACTTTCTCCTGCTCCCGCCCCCAGTGACCATCTGGGGTCTCACTCAGGCCACATCTCCTATCATCATCCTGTTGTTTTAGTGTTTCCAGGGGTCTCTGCCCACCTGTCTTGGTCTCACAAATGCCCCCTGCCTGGACCGTCCTGGTGTCTCATCTGCACGTCTCTGGCTGTTTGCCCATCAGCTCCCCTGCCCTTCTGGCCCCAGTCTCAGTTCCCTGGCGACATCACTCCAGCTTTAGCCCTCCACCCTGGCGGCCCCTTACCTGCATCCCAGAGGATTTCCCTGGTCCAGATGCAGCGGCCTTGGCCACACTCAGGGTCTGGAGGTTGCTGGCAAAAGCTTTGCTCTCAGCAGGAAGCAGAGGAGGGAGGCCTGGAGGCGGGGACAGACAGGACTCTGGCATGAAGGCCCCTCCAAAAATGTGACCCCCCAGCCTGCATCCTACATTTCTCTGGTTCTTCAGCCTCGGTGGCCATGCCAGCCCTGGCGTGCGTGCCCCTCTGGGAGTGAGATCTGGGGATACAGCTCTTCCTCCTCCATCTTCCCTGTCCAGTGAGTTCTGGGCAACCAACTCCTTGGGTTCACCCACCCACAGCTCTGTCCCAGCCAGCCCTTCCTGTCATTCAGCTTCTCTCTCGACCCTGGCACCCCTCTCTCCTGGGTGGGCTCCCCTACCTGCAGTGGCCATGGGCGCCGGGGCAGGGGGATGGCTGGGGGTGGCAGGGGTCCCGGATGGGGCCTGCCCGCTGACCAGCACAGAGGCAGTGGGGCTGGCGAGGGGCCCCAGGCTGGCGGAGGTCTGCGGGGCAGCAGGGGCCCCCACGGCCTTGCTCTGGAGAATGATTCCGGACGGCACCTGAGGAGAGGGACAGGTGGTTGAGGGATGGGGGGCACCCACTAGGAGTGGGGCAGCCAGGAACCAGGGCTGGGGGCAAAGAGAGAGCCATAAAGCAGGAGGGGTTCCAATCAATCAGACTGCAGGGGAGGGCAGGGGTGTGGGGCGGGTGGTGGGCTGGTCCCTGCCTCCAATTACCTGGTGAAATCTCTCGAGAAGAGCCTTCGGCTGGGGCAGCGCCGGGAAGGGGGTGGTCACCATCTGGAAGGTCCGAGGAGGCGGTGGGGGGGGCGCTGCGGGCTCGGGGACCAGGTGGAGGGTGGGAGGGGGCGTGGGGGATTTGTGGGGCCCCTGGCCAGGTGGGAACTGGAGCTGGAAGTCAGGTGGCGTGGGGGCTGGTAGCCTGGAGGACGTCTCAGAGGCCACGATAGAGGAGGTGGAAGTCGGAGGGAGGTGGGGGGCTGGGGGAAGCGGCCCCTCCAGGGGCTGGGATGGAGGTCGCAGAGGGGGCTGGGGTGGGCCGGGGGCTGTGGGGGCCGGGGTGCTTGCAGGTGGGGGGACACCCAGCTGGTTCTGGATGACAAAGATGCTGGGCAGAGTCGGGGGGGCCTGGGGTGGGGGGCAAGGGTGCAGGGCGGGCTCTGAGGGTGGGCGGGACAAGCTCTGGGGCTGGGAAGGCGGGCGGGAGTGGGGTCGGGAGGGTGGGCGGGAAGGGGGCCGGGCAGGGTGTGGGGAGGGCAGGTGGGGGCTGTCTCCCAGAGGGGCCTGGTGAGGTAGTGAGGGGGATGAGGAGGGGCCTGGGCCCTTCAGCGGAGTCGCTGCTGGGATCTGGGCAGGGGAGGGAGGGAGAGGGGAGGGGGCGGGGGTCAGAACCAACCTTGGCTCCCATTGCCCCAAGACACTGGGGACCCCAGCCACTCCCGCCAGAAACCCCACTTCTTAGCCACCCCTTGTCCTGAGAGAAAGAAGCCGACATCCTTCCTGCCTCTCATTTCTGAACTGCCCACTTCACCACTCCGCCTGACACCCAACCACCTCACTTCATGCCCTCAAGCTGTCCCCCACATCTGTCCCCACATCATGTCCCCACCGCCCCCTTCCATTTGTCCCCCCTCACCCCTGCACCTGCCCCTGCCCCCACCTCCTCACCCCCATATCTCTGCCCTCTGATCTCACCCCCCCGACCCCCCCGATGGAGGCGAGCTCT